TTAGCACGTGACAGGTTTTAGATTTATAATAGGTACGTACAAATCACGTGAATCAGTACGTGTCCGTAGACGGTCCGAGTAGCTTTTACCTTGTTATTTCGCTAAAAGCACGTGAAATTCTGACCAGCGTTAGAGTTAGATTCAAAGTTAGTATAAGAAGCGTAGTATAGTAAATTTTGGCCAGGAATTTTTTGTTAGAACGTTAAAGGTGATTTCTTAAATAAATTTCGAGTTTACTTTGAAAAAGCCTTCGATTTCACGTTACACGAAATTGCACTTGATCTTGCAATCTACATAGGCAAATTTCCTTTTTTTGATTTGTATCACTTGCAGAGACCCGTCCTTGTGATCATCACTGTAACACCATACAAGTTTTTTGTTCAATCAGGAAAAACAACACCAGGTAAACAAACCTATATGATAGTATTGCATAATGATAAGCTGTCAAAATTTTGTTTATAACGATAAAAACTCACTTGCTTATAAACGGTAATATTTATTTTTATTAGATGTTAGATATGTTGAATTATTTGAATTATATTTTCGAAAAACAATTTTTAAGGTATATGTCGTCAAATAATAGCTTTTGCACTATGATGAATGGATGTTCAAAGGAAGCCGGTTAAGGATATTTTAATATTCGAATGGTATTTAAACTGGATAATTATATCACCTGGGAAAGGTATCCTTGGAATATGTTCAATGTACTCTGTTGCCTGCGGACGCTTGTTATTGAGGACAGCTTAGTTTATTGGAGAAACTAAGAGAGAGATAACATTGTTGATGTGGGAGAGCTACACATGCTTAATTAGCGTGGCTTAATTAGCATATTTAGCTTACCTAGCTTGAACATATTTATGACGCCCCAGCTAGTTATACTATGCTGGTCTGTTGTTCGCGGATACTTTATAACAGTAATGACGTCTTACAGGTTGTTATATTATTTTAGTTTTAGAAATAATACCATGCTGGCTAGTTGGTTATGAATATTCTGAGTGCAATAATTTATATTATTTTATTTGATAAATATACTAATATTTATTTATTTATTTTTTTAGAAAATAATCGAATCCTCTTCCCGTTACAACAGAATCTACATATATACATATTTTTTTTGTTTGTATTGTATTATATTAATCTATTTTTTTTTTTTTGTGGCTTTTGTTTTAATGCCTTTTCTTCTCTGTTGTCAACATCGTGGATACTTCGCTTTAGCTGGTGCTATTCCTTGGAGTCATCATAGGTTGATACTGTCACTTGGAGTCATTGCATTGGGTATTTCGCTTTTGTTGATGTTGTCTTTTGAAACCGTCATATGTGGTCTCGTCTTTGAAGTAATCATCGTATATTGGTGCTTTCGTTTGTATGCTGGTGAAATAATCATATGTTGGTGCCTTACGTTGGTGCTTTGTTCCATATTGATAAGTATAGAATTTTTTTTGTTATATCGTTTTTCTTTTATTCATTAACTAGTTTTTTTTTTTACAGTTACATCGTTGAATTGTCGGGGGGTTTTTTTTTGGTTGATGGGTTGTATTTGGCATCGTCATTTCATGAAGTTGTAGTTCATGTTTTACGTTAATGCTTTCGTTCTAGTGATGTTACCCAAACTATGTGATGAATAATATCACACGAACTCTGCAATAGCAATTAGGCGTTAATATTTTCATCGTGTAGTTTGGAATAGTTTGGATAACATTGCTATTTCGTTCCACATTAATAAATATAAATTTGTTATTTTGTTGTATCTGTTTTTTTTTTCTTTCACTCACCAGTCTTTTTTTCACAGTCGATAGATTGTCTTTCTTTATTTGATAGGTTGTATTCGGTATCGTCATTTCTTGGAGTCATTGTTTATATCTTATATTGGTACTTTTGTTCAGTATAGCTTTTTTTTTTCTTTTCTTTTTCCTTGAATCGATTTTATTCTTTCTTTCACTAATCAGTCTTTTGTTTTACTATTATGTTGCTGGATTGTTTCATCGTTTACCGATGGGTTGTATTCGGTATCGCCGTTTCCTGGAGTTGTGTAGTCATATGTGATTCGTCACTTAATGGAGCAACATTCATTTGTGGAATTTTGTGTGTAGTGTTGGTGTTATTCTATCATTTTGTTAATATCGTCGTTTTATTGTGTCTTTTATTGGTATTATTGTCGTACTCTATATTGAAATCGTCCCAATTCAGGATCAGGCTGTCCCGGATAGGAATCTTGTGAATTGTTTTTGGCAGAATTAAGACTTTACGGTTAATGTTAGGTTTAGAATTAGGGTTTGTAATAAAAAATGTTTAATTTGGCTGGTATAATTCGGGCAAAAATTCCAAAATTCTTATCCGGGACTGTCCCAATTCTGAATCGAACAGATCCAAATTCAGAGTAAACCGTTATCATTGAGCAGCACCGTATTATGTATTATAACATTTTAGTTCTGCGTGTTATCTATTTATGATAGGATTTTTTTTGATGTATAATTTTAGTTTAGATGGGGATTTAGTTTAGGGTTAGGGTGAGCAATTAGGTTAGTGATTAGGGTAGGTTTTAGGGTTTAAATAAATACATTTAAAAAAAGGTAGTGGTTTAATAATACATAATGTAATTATAATATATGTATATAATTGACTATTATACTTTTATTAATAAGTTGATCTTGCATATTATTTGTTGATATGTAACAGGGAATTTACCCTCTTTTTTTAAAATATTTATTACATCAATCGAATAATGATATTGAAGACAGCTAAACGACGAGCCAATTTCTCTAATTCGCAATAGTCTTAAATCAATATGAGGAAAATCACTAGCCGATGCACTTGCAGATGCACCTGTTCGAATCTTAATAGGTATATATTGTTATGGCGAAGAAGTTGAAGTTGAAAAGGATAAACATAAAACATTTATCATTTTCAAAAAATCTGTAAAGACAGAAAATAATGATGAAACATATAATGCAGACAAGAGATAAGGATGAGCATAAGTCATCTAGTTATTTCGAAATTCGTATAGGTGGGAACGCTGATGAAACGTGAAATTGTTGTTATATTAATAGATTTTGTGGTAAAAAGTATGAACATAAAGGATTCATCTGCTATCAAAAATCAACAAATGGATGACGCTAGTGGAACATTTAATAGTAGATATTGTTATAACGAAGAAATTGGATGAACATAGGCATTCGTTCATTTTTAAAATTTGCAGAGATGGAAAATGCTGGAACATATCGGCTAGGTGTTGAAAAAAGGGCCGGAAATAATTTTTCCAAAAGGATTTCTTTTTTTTTTACATAAATCAATTTAGAATAAAATTAAGGTTGTTTTTTTCTTAATATACAAAAATAGTTGTATTAATAGCTCTTTAAAGTTTGCATTTTCTTATGATTTATTATAAGATTTATAATATAAAAATTAATTCTCGGAAGATCTTTTTTTTTTGTTACCTTCGGCCCTTTTCCCAACACGTGGCGCATATAAAATCCGGGTAAGAGATCGTTATCTTGAGAATTGTGGATCGTATGTCTTGGAAGTATTATGCTTATTATTTCATTGTTGTTATTGTTTTTTATTTGTGAACGCCTTACTAACGCTTGTTCTTTATTTTTTTTAGCTTTGTTAGGGTTTTCTGAGCTTGAAAGTTTTTGGGAAGTATAATTTTCTTGCTCGATGTTTTTGTCTTTGGTTAAATTTAATTAACACCCTTTTCTCTTACAAGTGTTGATCGGAAGTGTTTTGAAAACTTTTCGTACCAGTTATTAGGTGTGTTCCGGGAAGTATGACTTATATGATTTGTTGTTCTGGATTGTGAATGTATTTTACTAACGTTTGTGTACGTATTATAATTAAATATCATAAATATAATAAAAGAGTACAATATTAAAAAAAATGGTTGAAATTTTAGATTTCTTGGGGATTTCAAATTAATAAATAACTAGCACATTTTAGAATAAATAGGATTTGTTAAATAGTATTTTTACTATATTGAATTATAAATCAGAAAAATAAAATAAAAATTTAATTTTGAAACCTCTGGTTTTCGAACGTCCTAAAAATTTTGAGATTACTTTAGAATACACCAAATTTCTAAAATATATAATAAATACAATATTAAATAAAATTCTTTTTTAATTTTTGGACGTGATTAGAGGAACCGTCGATGTTACACTAATGATTTTTCACCCGGTGTGCAACATATAAAAAAATCATTTTACAATACCAGATCATTCCGCTAGTACATGTTATGATTATAATCCCACACCATTTTTATTATAATAAATGGTGTGGGATTATAATCATAACATGTACTAGCGGAATGATCTGGTATTGTAAAATGATTTTTTTATATGTTGCACACCGGGTGAAAAATCATTAGTGTAACATCGACGGTTCCTCCTGTTGATTAATATTAAGCGACAATTTTCGGAGTAGCTGCCCTAAAAATCCTAAAGTCCTAAAATGCCCTTTTTGCCAACCTTACCCCTTATTGGTAAAATTCCAAATATTTGAAAAATTGCTGATTATTTATATTTTTTTGAAAAATTTGGATCTAAAAGTTTCCATGCTCCTGTTATGGTCTTCAATATGATGCATTGAGATTAGAAAATGTTCAATGCATAAATGAATCGTACATAAGGACTCTTCTTGTCAATAATCTAGGTCATCCAAAAGGAAGCTAAAATGCGATGGAAGACACCATCTTATTATATTTAAAAATGCGATAGAAAAACTATCATGTGCAGCATGTCTAGAAATGCGATAAAAAGACTCCATCATGCACAGCATGTTTAAAATCTAAACATCGCCATCACCACAAATTCACCGCCAGAAAATACGTTAACAACCGTTTCAAAGGATAAGGCAATCAAATCATAACAATATTATTCCAAAATCAAAAAATCAGGAACTTAGATATCAAAGCATAGGGCTTTCATAGTAATTGGCTGATTTTGGTAGATCATCCCGTGACATTGCATAGATATTATTGGTTAATCGAATCGACAAAAATATTTTATGAAACTGGTTACATAAAAATAAATTAGCATTAATAAATGCATTATTATGAAATTCCAAAAACTCGATGCCTAAAGCAATCACTCCAAGTACAATCAACTTTGCGGAAATCGTACATTTTTGCGATAGCATTTATACATTATGTATTTGGCAAATTTTGGTAATATAATAGGATAATATAAGAATGACAAAAAACATTTTTATATTAAATGTCAAATATAGTTTTCTACTAGCCATTTACTAGATGACTACAAATAATTACAATAGGCTTTTAACAATTTTCATTTTTAGCAAAAAAAT